ATCGCGCCATTGCACTCCAGCCTGGGGAAAAAAAGCGAAAACCCCTCCCAAAAAAAAAAAAAAAAAAACAAAGAATGAAGCTTGGCCTGGGCAGGGTGGCTAGGAAGGGGCTCTGTCTGCATTTGGAAATCAGTTTTGGTGAACGTCCCAGCCCAGGGCCTGCTTTCTCAAAGGGCAAGCCCTCTGGTCTTCCGCCGCAGGCCTTTGTGTCCTCCCCTTGGCTCTTGGCCCTCTCACCTGTGGAAATGGCTGTGCAGGTCAGAAGTGGGGGGCCCAGGGGTTTGTGTGACCCCTGGCACAGTGCATGGCACACAGCAAGCTTGCAGGCAGAGGCAGCTGTCCTCATCACTTGGAGGCCAGCCTCCCTGCCCTAGGGCTGTCATGGAGTGGCCTCAGGGACCACTGGGGGCCTCCTGTTCTGGTCACACTGGCCTCTGCCCTCCTGGGGCTTCTCCATCTCTTCACCTCGTGCTTCCTGAGCCATTTTATCTTCACCGTCTGCCTCCTCCTACACTGGACTGTGGGCTCCCAGAGGCCAGGGCTGGCTGTCTTGCCTACTGTTAAGTTTTTTGGCTGAAATCACAGTGCCTGGCTTGTGGCATGTGTCCGATGCCCATCTGCTGATCAGTTGGTTGTGTGGTGGACATAACAGATGTATGTGTGTGGGGATGGGCTTGAAGAACTCCTTCCCAAGCCTCTGAGGGTGGGACAAGTGGGGCAGACCCAGGGTGAGACGGTTACAGAGACTCACACGTACCCCTGTTCACACACAAGGAGCAGACTGAAACAGGCGCAGGCTACGCACAAGGAAGCGGCTCCGTCCGCAATGCCCAGACCCCTTCTGGCAAGAAGGGTGTGCTTGGGAGCGGGTAGAGCGTGGTTGCTAGTCTGGGGAGGGGCTCCGGGTCACATCCAGGTCTTTGGCAGGTTCGGAGCAACTTTGGCCGTTGGCCTGACCATCTTTGTGCTGTCTGTTGTCACTATCATCATCTGCTTCACCTGCTCCTGCTGCTGCCTGTACAAGACATGCCGCCGACCGCGTCGTAAGCATGCCCACCCTGCCCCACTGACCCCCTCGGGTGGCAAGGGGAGCTGACCAGGCCCTGCCTTGGCTAAGCTGGAGGGATGGGTGGCAAGCCTGGCCCTCAAGACCTAGGGAGATGGAGGAGGGCCCTGACTGGAATTCTCTTTGCAGCGGTTGTCACCACCACCACGTCCACCACTGTGGTGCACGCCCCTTACCCTCAGCCTCCAAGTGTGCCGCCTAGCTACCCTGGACCAAGCTACCAGGGCTACCACACCATGCCCCCTCAGCCAGGGATGCCAGCAGCACCCTACCCAATGCAGTACCCACCGCCTTACCCAGCCCAGCCAATGGGCCCGCCGGCCTACCACGAGACCCTGGCTGGTGAGTGCCCCTGCCTACTCTAGCCCTGCCTGACTTCCTGAGCCCCTGCCAGCACCCCTCAGGCACCCATCCCGGAATACATCGCTGAATAGGCCTCTGTCCCTTTCTGCTTGCCTGCCACTCACATGGCAGCCCACCATGCTCACAGCCAACCAGAGTCCTCTCTGCTTTCAGGAGGAGCAGCGGCACCCTACTCCGCCAGCCAGCCTCCTTACAACCCGGCCTACATGGATGCCCCGAAGGCGGCCCTCTGAGCATGCCCTGGCCTCTCCGGCTGCTACTTGGTTATGTTGTGTGTGTATGAGTGATGTGCAGGCACTCATGGGCGTAGTTCCCTACGCCCCATGCGTGCTGTTTGTGTCCTGCCTGTATATGTGGCTTTCTCTCATGCTGATGAGGGGAAGAACAATCCTTGCCAGAGTGGGCTGGGACCAGACTTTGTTCTCTTCCTCACCTGAAATTATGCTTCTTAAAAATCTCAAGCCAAACTCAAAGAATGGGGTGGTGGGAGTACCCTGTGAGGTGGGACCTGAGGAGTGGGGGGCTCTCCAGGGCACATCTGGAGTTCTTTTCCAGCTTACCCTAGGATGACCAAGTATGGCCTGTTACACCAGGATGGCACAGCTATATGATGCAGATGTGTCCTGGTTTCAGCAGTGTAGCCAGCTGCTGCTCGAGGCCATGGCTTGTCCCCAGAGTTGGAGGTACCCTTTGCAGAGTCAGGGACCTGATGCAGGTGAAGCTTGGGATCTGACCAAGTTGGGCTTTGATCCTCTCAGCAGATGTCCATTGTTCCCTGGGGCCTGTGTCATGCCCATTAGGGGTCAGGAAGCCTCTTGATGCCAGAACACCTCAGGCAGAGCCCTACTACCTGATACCCTGTGTCCTCCCTGGGACCACCTGAGGGCCACATGCACACACAGCCTAGCTGCCCACAGGTAGCTCTCCTGCCCTCGCTGGCCCTGCCCTTCCCGCAGGTGAGCAGGGCAGCCTGTCCACCAGCACACTCAGGTCTCTTCCCTGCAGTTTTCATTTTATTTTAGCCAAACATTTTGCCTGTTTTCTGTTTTGAACATCATAGTGATGTGAGGCTGAAACCCCTGGGTTGTGGAGGGAAATTGGCTCGGAGGAGGACAACCTGGCAACTGTGAGAGTCCCTGCTTCCCCTGACACCAGCTCATGGAAGATGCAACTCCTGTACCCCAGTCCAGTGTGTTCTGGCAGCAGGGACACCTGGCCAACCGGCCATCTGGACCAAAGGTGGGGTGTGGGGCGCTGGATGGCAGCTCTGGCCCAGATATGAATACCTCGGTGTTCCTCGTCGTCTGTTAGTTTCACCAGAGCTTAGCTTCGTATCTGTTGTGTTTCTGAAAGTCTAGGATCTGCACCTGTGTTTATAATAAATGCAATCGTTTGGAGCTGCTGCCCCCTTTCTTCTGGCCTCGGCTGCTGGGACTGGAATCAGGCGGTACTGTTTCCATCCACCATTTGGGCTTCTCTGTGTTTTCCCTACTTTCATCGGTCTCAGATAGTTGACCATCCTGCTAGAGAAAGTGAGAGACAAACACTATGCCCTCCTCCCCAGGTCCCTGGGTGTGGGCAGAGGTCTGGGCTGCCAAGAAGGGTAGGAGGCAAGTGACCACTCAGTGCTATGCCGGGGGTCTTTATTCCTCAGATTTTCCTTCTTGGCTTACTCCCCAGGTGCAGCCAGGAATAGTCCATACAATGTGGCTACTGCCAAGGTCAGGACAGCCAGCAGACCCAGTGGGACCAGCAGCCCCTCCCTGGGTGGGGCTTCAGAGTCCTTCACTGAAGGAAGATCCTTGGGTCTCCTGCTCCCTTCAAGGCTGGGACTAGCGTTGCTGGTTGTGGCCAGGTGTAGAGTGGCTGTGATGGCAGATGGTCTTGGCTTGGTCCTAGCAGAGGCTGTGACTTCATACATGGGCCTGATGGTGCTGAAGGGCCTGGCGTGAGCATCCACCCACCGCAGCAGGGCCTGTGGTCTCCACTGACAGATACTGAGCAGGGCCAGGACGTCGCCCTCAGCCGTGTGTGAGTCCGGAGGGGGCTTCCCGTACAGGCGTGTGTAGATGCTGCCCAGGCTGTAGCTCTTTCTTGGGCCATGCTCTGAGGGGCTGCCCGCTCGCTCCAGGGCCTTCAGTGCAGTGATGCTATCCACACAGAAGGCACCATCCAGAGCACCGGTGAGGCCCAGCATAGCCAGCTCTGCTTGGAGCAGGGGGAAGTCGTAGCGGTCACCATTGTGTGCCACCAGGCACCAGGGCTGTGGCTGGCGCTGCAGGAAGGCTAGGAGCAGGTTGGCCAGGTTGTCATCAAAACACTGACGCCCATGTGCTGCCAGCACAGCTGTGCTCAAACCTGTGATCTCGATGGCTGCAGGGCTGCAGGCCTTCCTGGGAGCCACACACAGGGAAAGCTTGTCCACCACACGTGGTGGTGGAGGAACTATGGGAGGTGGCCCCTGAGACGTAGGGGGGTTCTCCAGGGCACATCTGTGGACAGCCAGCAGGCACAGCTCCGTGACCTTGGGCTGGGAGAAAGGCAAACCAGTGGCCTCCATGTCGAAGAAGATGAGGGTCTGCATGGGCCCCGGGGGCAGGGCCTGCGAGCCCATGGTTGGGTAGGTACCTGCCGCTGAGCCTGGGGAGGAGCATGGGGTGGGTAAGTGCCCAGTGTTAAAATTTGAAGAGGATGGAGTGGGGTAGGGGTGGGCAGAAGCACATCTCAGCCTTCCTTGGACAATCCTGCCCTGTCAGGGCCCATTTTCAGGCAGGAAGTTGGAGAGGGTGGGGTGGTTTCCTTAGTGGGATCAGCACATTGGACTGTCCGAGAGAGGGCTCCCTCTTCACAAGACTTGGCCCCTCCTCTACTGCCCCCTTAGCCTGGGGTGGGGGAACCCACGGCCTTCTTGCGCTGTCCCATCCCCTTGGGGGGCCACACTCACCACAGCAGGCAGGCAGCAGTGACTCGGCTGCACTCTCCCTCGGCTCTCGCTGGCAGCAGTGGCGGGAAGTGAAATGGCATGGGCCCGCCCACAGGCCCACGTGAGACAGGCCCGCCCTGCTCGTCAGCCTGCCTGGCCTGTCCCTCACCAACATCCATCCCCCCACCCACCCCCTGCCCCTGAAGACCCCAGAGGCCTTCCCAGATCCACAGCTGTGGCCTGCTGGTGGCACAATGCACCGGGGCCCTCACACCAGTGACAGGCAGCTGGAAGGACCAGGTCAGTGGCGCCGGGCCAGCTCTGCATCTTACACACTGCTCGGATCCCCTGCCTGGGCCCTTTGATGACCACCTGTGAGTCCCACCTTCTCAGGCTTTCCTGGTTTGGGCTTGGACCAACGACCACCTCTTTCCCTCCCACACAATGGTTTCTTCCCATGGCTCTAGCCCAAAGCAATGACTCAGTACAATTCTACAGGCAGGGCAGGGCTCCTTCTTCAAGGCAGATCAGTTACCATGGGGACTGGGGCTCAGCGGCAGCCAGGACAGGAAGAAGGATCCCAGCCTCTCAGGGTCGCAGTCCCACTCCACCCCTCCCTCTCTGCCAAAGAGATCAGACTAAGGAAACAAGGCCGGCCAGTTCTCTGGGCAGTTCTTGCCGGGCACTGCTTTAATTGGTTGATGTAGTGAGGAAAGGAGCTGGCGCCACCATGTGGCTGGATGCTCGCAGCCTCAGCCACACTCCATCTCGGGGTCGTCCACATCGGTCTCTGCGGCACAGAGGTCATCCAGGGCTGCCTCTGAGACAAAAAGGAGAGGGTTCCATGGTGAGGGCCCGAAGGTGCCAGGGCCTTAGGCAGGTCCCACCTCTCATCCCACAATGTCCACAGGAACTAACCAGTCCCTTCCACACTCAGGCCTTGCTCCCTCAGCTACTGCAAACAAAGTGATACAAAGGCAATTCAGACACGGGTATTTCCAGAAAAACCATGGCTCTGCTAGGCACATTCAACAGAGAGGAGCGAAAGGCCGCCCAATATGCTTGGAGAAGAACTGGGCAGAAAGATAAAGAAAACTGCCCCAGTGCCAGAAAAGGCTGCAGTGGGAGGGGCCCAGGAAGCTGACTCATTGGAACCCCAGGGAGAGGCCATGGGGGCTGGGCGGGAGGGCCTCTGGCAGGCTCACCTTCACAGTCGGTCACGTCAGGAAGCCCTCGGATGAGCATGCTGACCCCCGGCATCACCTGGTCATACTGATGCAGGACCTCCACGCAGTGCATCATGAAGAGCTTGTCCTTCTGGGACAGACCGTGCAGCAGCAGCACTGTGTCCCGCAGACAGCGCACTGTCCGCCTTTGCTGGTTGGTCCTTGGGGGCCCTCCTGCCCTCCGCACTGTCAGCCACTGTCTGTGCAACATCACTGTGAGCGCTCTGACCACCTGGGGGAGAGGGGGCGCAGACGGTCTGCTGTCACCATGGCCTGCACCCTAACAATCTGCTCAGCCTTACCACCTCAGGTGAGGGGGTTTGCAGTGGGGCCTATAGTCCTTGCACAGGGCCCCTTACCACCCACAGAGCTGCCAGCTGTTGGCCCCTGCCCACTCACCTCTACATTACACTGGCAGTTGGAGCTAGTGACTGGGGGCAAGGGGCTCTGCACACCAAGCTTAGCCAGGAGCCACACCACCTAGAACAAGAACAGATTGGTTCCATCCTGGGCAGGAGACTAGTCCCCACAAGGGCTTTCTCAAGCTTCTTCAAGAATTCAATTGCTTCAGCAACTGCTTGTCTGCACAAATGGGGTCCAAGAAGTGGTGTGGGACCTTCCCAGGCCACACTCAGGATGGGCACCCATGTCTCACCAGCAACCCACCTGCCCCCAGCCCCCAAAGCCAGACAGGATCAGTCATCAGGCAACTCTGCCAAGTCCCGCCTAGATTGCATCTGTGTAGTACACAGACCCCAAACTGAGTTTACCTCTTTTGCTGCTTGATCTTGTTACTAAAACGAATTAAAGCTCCTTTTCTCCCCAGAGGAAAGAAAGGAGATTCTGTCGGTTCTTAGGATGGGATGGGGTGGGTGACAGCGTCCAGAAGGGGCTCTGAAGTTTTTACCTCTTGTTCTAGTTCGAGCCACTGTGTCTCCGAGGCCACTCTGTCAGGCCGTGATGTGATGTACAGGTACAGCAGCAGCAGGAGGCAGCCTTCTGAAAAGGACAGCCCGCCTTTCTCTCAGGGTGCCCTTTCTCATGCAGAGGCTGGGCTACCTGCTGCAGAAGCCCTCCAAGGCCCTTGAACCTGTCCCCAACCCCTCCCCTGATCTGCAGGAGCAGTCCAGATGCCCACCCCACCATGCTTTACCTGAATGGGAACAGAGCTGAGGCACCAGTTCTTCATGGTCCGCCAGCAGGGAAAGGAGCTCAACAGCTAGCAGCACGCTAGGTAGAGGTGTTTCTGGGCTGAGGCACTTTGGCAGCACTTTGAACACACATTGGAACCTAAAAGATGGGGACCCAGAGAGATGTGACACTCCCCAACCCCAACTCACTTTAGAGCATAACCTCCCCTCACATTCCACCAGAGGTAGCAGGAAATTGAGCAAGGCAGTAGGAAGAGGAGAGTTGGTGCAGATAGACTTGGGTTTCAGTGCTGGCCTGACCCCGCTTACTTGCTATGAAACTTGTTTCATGTAACAAGTGGGCAGTCTCACTGCAGGACAGGCCCTCATCTGGCGTAGCATCGCCCAGGAAGTGGGATGACTTCCTGAACCTTGGCTGCCTGGCGTTCACATGTTCCCAAACAGGGATGCAGGTCCTAACTTAGGTGTGAGAGAAATGTTCTGTGCCCACAGAATGACCAGCCAAGGCTCCAGGAGTGACAAACATGGCCTTGGCTATAGCTGGATCTTATGAGAACTCTTACAAGCAAGGAAGACCATTTTTTTCCTACCTGTTAGAAAGCACATCTGCTGCCAGTGGGAGAATGTGCCTACTGTGGGCTGTGCAGGAGGGAGGGGTTCCGGACACACTGCCCCATGTCTCAGGGACAAAGGGAAAACTATTCCCAAGAAGCCAGGCCGCAAGGCAACTGCTGCTGTTTGCCCAACTCACATAGCCTGGAGGAGCATGATGGACTGGCCTTGTGGGTGGGGCGAAGGGCAATTCTATGGGGTCTGGCCAGGTGTGTACCCCTTCAGACATCCACAGTTTTTGAGCACATAAGGTAAAGATATCCCTCAGTATGTCCTTAGGAAGCAAGGTCTCACTGTGTGGGGTGAACTCACTTTAGAGCAAATCCTGCATAGCAGACAAAAAGTTCAATGCTTTTTAGTTGCCAGGGTGTGCAGACCTTTGTGAAAAACTGGAATTTAACCTGGTGGTTACATGGTTTCATTATTGGGCTGTAAGAGGCCCAATATCTGCCACTTGCAGAGGGTATCTGCAAGGAAAATCTACCCTTATATATAACACAGTGGTTTCCAAGGTATTTTTGGATAGCATAAGAACCTTTTTTTTTTTTTTGAGACGAAGTCTTGCTCTTGTTACCCAGGCTGGAGTGCAATGGTGCGATCTCGGCTCACTGCAACCTCCGTCTCCTGGGTTCAGGCAATTCTCCTGCCTCAGCCTCCTGAGTAGCTGGGATTACAGGCACGTGCCACCATGCCCAGCTAATTTTTTGTATTTTTAGTAGAGATGGGGTTTCACCATGTTGACCAGGATGGTCTCAATCTCTTGACCTCGTGATCCACCCGCCTCGGCCTCCCAAAGTGCTGGGATTACAGGCTTGAGTCACCACGCCCGGCTAAGAACCTTTTTAAATGAAAAAAAAATGTTTTTGTTTTGATATGTAGTCTTGGTGATTTTTTTTTTTTTTTCTTAGTAGACACGGGGTTTTACCATGTTGGCCAGGCTGGTCTTGAACTCCTGACCTCGTGATCCACCTGCCTTGGCATCTCAAAGTGCTGAGATTACAGGCATGAGCCACTGCGCCTGATCTAAATAAAATTTTATGCAGGTCAGAGCTCACTGCCACCATGCCTGGCTAATAAAAAAAAACTGTAAAGATGGAGTCTTGCTTTTTTGCCCACGCTGGTCTCAAACTCCTGGGCTCAAGTGATCCTCCCTGCCTTGGCCTCCCAAAATGCTGGGATTACAAGCAGGAGCCACTGTGCCCAGCTTGGGATTCATTCATTTAACAAACATTAAACAACCAAGGCTGGGCGAGGTGGCTCATGCGTATAATCCCAGCACTTTGGGAGGCCAAGGTGGGTGGATAACCTGAGGTCAGGCATTCAAGACCAGCCTGGCCAACATGGTGAAACCCTGTCTTTATTAAAAATGCATAAAATTAGCCGGGAATGGTGGTAGGCACCTGTAATCCCAGGTTCTTGAGAGGCTGAGGCAGTATAATTGCTTGAACTTGGGAGGTGAAGGTTGCAGTGAGCTGAGATCACGCCACTGCACTCCATCCTGGGCAACAAGAGTGAAACTTCATCTCAAAAAACAACAAAACCAGCCACTATAAGCTGGTCCCCTGATGGGCACTTGAGTGCTGGGTCTGCCCGACCCCACTGCCCACATTACACTGTGGTGCTGTCCAGCTCTGAGCACTTTTAGCATAGGCCAGACCAAAATTTGGGTGAAAACTGGGATCTAGGAAACAGCAGTGCTGAGCTCAGAGACAAGATGATTTAAGATATATCCAGCCAGTAGACTTATTCCAACATAGAAACTGGCCTCTTGGTGGAATGCTGAGAGGGAGACTGGATTACTGGATGAGGGGGTGGGCTGGCTGTGTTCACAGTTCTCCCAGTCTTGTGGCTCTGGAATCCCAAGGGAGGAATTTATGATCACAGTGTTCATTCCCTAGGTTCACTGTGCTACTACTTCCCACAAGCCTTAAGAGGAACAGGCCACCCCAGACACATGCTAAACATGGGCACAATATCAAGCAGACACTCCCCACAAGGTCAGCCTGTGGGCCTCTGCTTCCTTAGGGAACCCACTAAATCCTCTGCTTAGGATTCCTTAGGGAACCCTTCCTACATCCTCTGCTTCCGGAACTCACTAAACTTCAATGTGTTTGTGATATGTGGTCTTCACCTGACCCACTTCTCAGGTTCAGAGGCCACTTGTCTCAGCCCTTGCCCTGGGGCAGGACCCTCCTCCACAGGGGTTAGCAGCCTCCTTTAATCATGTGTGCCTTTTGCTTATCTGTTGTTCAGAGGCAGAATTAAACCAAATAAACCAATTCTTTGGTTCTCCCAACGGTTGACCCCACTTCCCATCACTTCAGAACTCCCCGAACCAAGCCTTAAAACTAACTAGTGTAGATAAGCCAAGATGTGAGCAAAGTACAAGGGCCACAGGTTACACCTTAAGAGGTCAGGTGAGACCCACAAAGCATCATGACTCCTGTGCTGCTTTATACCTGGGCAAGAAATCAGAGGAAGTGTTTTCGGCTAATTTCACCAAAACCTTAAGGCACTGGCTCAGGACACTGGCTTGAAGGTGACCTGCTGCTGCAGAAGAGAAAGCCAACAGCTGAAGAAGCATCTTCAACAGTGGGTGCTGTCCTTGGTCATCAGCAACCCCCACTGGGGCTGAGGTCATATCTCCATTACAATGCCTGTGAACCAGGCTCTTGTTTCCTTCCCCAGCAGCAGAATCTGCCCCCACTCCTGACAGTAATAGGCAGATGACTGCTCTGCTATGGCACACCAGGTGCTGAAGAATGCTAAGTGCAGTCACAGAGAAGCCTTCCAGGATGCACATTGAGTCCTCAGGGTTGGTCTCTACCCCAGAGCTCACGCAGGAGGAATGTGTCGGTGAGTCCCCAGGTGCTCCGCTTCTCTTAGCAGCTGCCAAGTCCTGCAGGGCCTGGCAATGTAAGCCGATGAAGAACTGTACAAGGGGGAGGAAATGCACGGCCCCAGGAAGCTGGCAGAGTGGGAAGGCCCTTCTGCCTCCCTCTGCTGCGTCTCCATCATGTGAGCATTCATTCCTGGCAACCAGATTCAGTCCAGTGAATGCCAGGTTCTGTGCTTCTCTCAGGGCTGAGAGGGAAAATGACCCATCATGAGAACCTGTGGTCCTGAGGCCTAACGTTCCAGCCAAGGTACTGGCAACAAACACAAAAGAAAAATAAGTAAGTGTGGGATGGAGATAAGGTCGAGGGCCCCCAACAGCCTGCCTGCCACGTTCTCCCATGTCCCTGCCCATCCCCCAGACTTCCCAGGCTGGCCAGGGCCAGAAAGGAACTTCTTTCCAGGAAACTCCTTCCCAAACAAGCTTTCCAGGAGTCTTATGCTTACCTGCCAAACCCTGGTGGCTGCAGGGAGGTGCCAGCAGGAGACTCAGAACAACTACTCAGGAGGTGGCAAAGACTTAGGGATGACCCTGGGATCAAAGGCTGCTTCAGGAGCAGGTTTATCAAAATGGAACCTGCAGAAGACAAGGCAGCTCTAGAAGGTTCTGACATGGGACATCTTTTCTGTGGCCTCAGAAGGAAACAGTAAGGATTCTTTGGATGCCAACTGTCCTCTAAGCTGCCACTAAGCCCAGGAAGATGCCTATTGGTATGGAAGGCTCTGGGACCTACCTGCCCTTGGCCCTTTCCACTTTATAAAGTCTTCTGCTTAAGCACATACTTTGACTTCCCTGGACTCTCTGAAGGACTGCCTGGGGCGCCGGTTCTCAGAGGCCTGGGCAATTCTTCTGCATATCACTCAGAGCCATGCAGCCCCCTGCAGGAGAAGCAGGATTCTGGTACCTTGAGTGTCTGATCTCTGCCTCCAGCTGTCAACAAAGGTTTTCTGGGCCTTTTCTTGCTTTATGGAGTCACCTCTCAGACTGTGGGTCTTACTGTCTGAAATGAGATAAAATGTAAATCAAAACTTGAGCACTAAAGCACAGGCATATCAGAAACTTTTGCATGTAATGAGTTTAAAACACAAGTTGTTCTACTTCTTTGACCTTGGATCAAAGAAAGAGCCAAAGTAGCTCAAGAGCCCTTGCATCTTTTACCTTCCTCATGTAAAATAGGAAATCACACAAGGAAAGGAAAAGAAAATCAAGCTGTTTGCCTCACTAAAAATAAGGCAATTAGATAAAACAGTAACCACTAACATTGACATGGTGCTCGGTATGTGCTGGACACTGTTCTAAGAGCTTTACACACATCAGCCCATTTGTTCCTCGGTGACTCTATAAGGAGTTATCATTAGCTCTGTTTTACATAGGGAAACTGAGGCACAGAGACTAAAGGACTTGGCCAAATCATGTAAGTCAGTAAGTAGCATTACTGGGACTTACACCTAGGCTACTAGGCCCAATTGCCTGCTTGTAACACTACTGCCCCTTTAGTTGTTAGATGCCAAAAATGTAAGTGGGCTGCAGTTTCTCAGAAGTGTATGATGGCCAAGGATTTGAAAGGCTGATGGTGAGAAACGGCTCAATGTATCTGATTTATAAGATACACTGGTATAGCAGTCTGAAAACCTACTGATGTTAGATTGTCTCTCTCTAGAAAACAGCAGCATCCCCTCAATCTGAACTGAGTTATAAAAACTCAAAAGCTGGACTACAAAAGGAAAACATGTCCCTTCATACTAGCTATGTTTTTGGCATGGCCAATTGATGCTATTATGTTTTAAAAATATGCCCACACATGCTTTGACATACCTCCCTTCAAAAGGTATAGCTTGGTTTCCTCTTCCCTGAACGAAGCCCAGACACAGTGACTTGCTTCTAACAAACAGAATGTCGCAGAGGTGGGCTGGGCGTGGTGGCTCACACTTGTAATCCCAGCACTTTGGGAAGCTGAGGCGGGTGGATCACCTGAGGTCGGGAGTTCAAGACCAGCCTGGCCAACATAGTGAAACTCTGTCTCTACTAAAAATACAAAAATTAGCTGAGCGTGGTGGTGGGCACCTGTAATCCCAGCTACAGGGAGGCTGAGGCAGGAGAATCACTTGAACCCAGGAGGCAGAGGTTGCAGTGAGCCGGGATCATGCCATTGCACTCCAGCTTGGGCAACTAGAGTGAAACTGTCTCAAAATAAATAAATAAATAAATAAATAAAAGGCCAGGCGCAGTGGCTCACGCCTGTAATCCCAGCACTTTGGGGGGCCAAGGAGGGTGGATCATGAGGTCAAGAGATCGAGACCATTCTGGTCAACATGGTGAAACCCTGTCTCTACTAAAAATACAAAACATTAGCTGGGCATGGTGGCGCGTGCCTGTAATCCCAGCTACTCAGGAGGCTGAGGCAGGAGAATTGCCTCAACCCAGGAGGTGGGGGTTGTGGTGAGCCGAGATTGCGCCATTGCACTCCAGCCTGGGTAACAGGAGTGAAACTCCGTCTCAAAAAAAAAGAATGAGGCAGAGGTGATGCTGTGTGACTTCTGAAGCCAGGCCATAGAAGGATAGCTTCTCCCTGGTTCTGTCTCTGGATTTGCTATCTTTAGAAGAAGCCACTACCAGATTATAAGGACACTCTATCCATGTGCAGAGGCCTATGTGGCAAGGAATTACACTGCCAGCCATGTGAGTGAGCCACCTTGAAACAGGTCCTCCAGCTTAAGATAAGCTTTCAGTGATTCCAGTCCCTGCAGAGATTGTCCCCACTGTGCCCTGTCAGAACTGCTGATCACGGAAACTGGGAGAAAATAAATAATAATTGTTGTTTTAAGCCACAAATTTGGGCAGTTTGTTATACAACAATAGATGACTAATGGACTTACCCTCTCTGCCCACCGGAGGCTTGCATCCTGGCTCTGTCTGGCAGGTGTGGGGAAGGGACATGTTAGCACTAAAAGACTCCTTTGTAGGAAAAGATGTTTTTC